ACCCGCATCCCCCTCCGCGTCTCTAATTATGCCCTTATCTTCGATATGCGTGGGGAGGCTCCCGGAGCGGATCCATATACCTCCCCATCCGCACAGCTTTGTATGTATGTACTCGTGCAACATGGACGCAGGGTACTTGGTGGCTGGGGGATTGCCCGCGAGCTTCCTTTCTTTCGGGATCGAATAAGGAAAGCTAGCGGGAAAAGTGGGAAGGTCATGTAAACAGGAAAACCCGGTCAAAATCTCGCACCACCCGCCCCTCACTGTCTAGCAATGAAACAAACAAGGTGCGGTGGAGTTTTCGTTTTTATAAAAAAGGAGTGGGGGAGAGGAGAGAAGAAAACTTTGTTTCCCTGGTGGCGGCGAGACGGAAAGTTTAAAAGAACAGAACAAAACTTGAATATTATGTATGGTATGAGACATTAATTTCCAACCTTGAATGAAGCACGAAGCAAGATACGAAAAGAGCACGCTGCACATGCATATGCATATTTCATCATCATCATCATCATCACCACCATCACCACCAATCCTACCTATACCAATTGATTCAAAATAATCCCCAATTGACTCCGTAGCGAATTCGTCACCAACCGTCCACTGTCAAAGGTGGTTTTTATAGAAACAATGTACTAGTTAGTTCTAGTTAGTTAGCTAACTATAATCTCAAAGCTCCAAAAAAAATACCCCGACGGCTTGTTGTCTCGCCCGCGCTAAAATAACCTTACCAGTCCTTCCCGCACACACACACACACGCTGCGTACACACCGTTTTTTCACACCACTACCTCACTTCCCGTCGTAGTTCCCTCCCTTAACCCTGCAACCTGCGCTGCAAATCCCAACCACCGCCAAACCAACCAAACCAACCGAACCCGCCCGAACCGCTGACTAAACGCCAATAATCCGTTAGTTAACTAGCTAACTAGCTAGTTAGTTGTCAACGAACTTAGTGAGCTGACCAGTTATAAATACCAATCGCTGAAGCTGTCTCTCCTTTTCGACCATGGGAAACAGGAAGGCCAAGGGCAAGAAGTCGTTCCGAGCAGCGGCCAGCGGGACGAAAACTCCAATCATGGCGACGCATACTTTTCAATGGTACGTACCTACCTATCTTCTGTCATATGTGGGTGCATGTGGGTGTACGGGTCTGTGGGCGGCGGTCATGCCGCATTCTGTGCGATTCTGGCTCTTGACATTTTGTTGTTTGGGCCAGGATGCTGGGGAAATTGCGGACTGGCGCGGAAGGGGCTGTAGAGATCGGATACATGGAGCAGGGGAATTTATCTCTCTTTCTCTCTCTCTCTCTCTCTCTCTCTCTCTCTGCTTTTTTTTCGGGCGGGAGTCAGCGGTGTAGGAATGCATGAAGGAGGGTCCGTTCTTGTGAAACGAGGGGAATTAAATGATTTTTTTTTTTTTTTTCATCGAATTTATTATCTCGACCGCACAAGGAAAATTGTTAATGGTGTGCGATACCAAAGACGAGAGGGAGAAAGGAGAAGGAGAAGGAGAAGGCAATTCGATTGGAACACCGCTTTCCCGAATGTGGTATATTTTGGGAGTGTGTGTGTGCTCGCTCTGCGTTCCGGAGTTATTTAAAAGATGTCAACATATCCAGCTCCATCTTCAGCTCCATCTCCAGCCCCAAGCCGCAGCCCAGGTCTAGCTTCTCCATCCCGTAACTATTTGAGCAATTGAACGAAGAGGGAGTGGTTCACTGATTGATTTAAGCTGATGCTGACTCCGTGTTCTCTTGTCAACAACCTTACTACAGGCCAGATCCAACAGCGAGCGAGGTTTACGTCACGGGTACATTTGATAACTGGTCGCGGTCGGTGAAGCTGGAAAGAAGTACCAATGGGTTTAGGAAGGACGTCGAGGTGCCGAGTATTGGGGGAAAGATACTTTACAAGGTATGCGTATGCGGCTACATATATGATATATACAGTACATGCACACTTGGAGGAGGGGGGGACAGCTTGAAGGCATAAAAATATCAGGGAGGTAAAACAAGATAAGATGAGAATGAGACGGAAGAAGAAGGTCGAATATCGCTTCCAAAACTGCGCCGCGTCTTGGTTTTGATGCGAACTGGTTGCGCTTGGTGATAAATTTTCTCTCATTCTTCTTCTGCTCCATTTCATTTGATCTCTACTTTCCCCCTTTGACCTGACCAATCCTGCACCTTATCTGCACTGTTCTCCTCGGTTTCTCGAGTCTTACATTTGAAATCCCCCCTCCTCCGCTATCGTTTTCTTGTCGGATCCTCGCCCCGCATAAAAAGAAGCACCAACCATTCATGCGAGAGATGGGGTCATCATATGATATGAAATGATCCAGCTCCCAGGCGATCTCCGCAGTGGCAGTTGCTGAAAGCGCGGGCTTTCGAGCGCTGAGCAACCCCCCTCTCTCCTCTCCCACTTCCTCACCGTCTTTGCGAGCACTCGCTCGGCCACTTGCTCGGCCAATGGTACCCTCACCCGAAATACAGCGGCTGTTATTAGCTGGGTGTTGCGGGTCCACTCTGAAGAGGAGAGGATAGATGGGCTCAAGTGCCAGTCAAAGGCGAAAACGAGCACGAAGCATGCAGGAGTAGAGAGCTCATTATTCAATTGTTCTACGCTGCACCTGTTAAGACAGTGGGAGACGGAGAGAAGAGATTCAGCCTTGTTTTCTCACAAGGCACCTGAAAGCATTCCCCCCACCTCAAGGGTGCAGGATCTGATATTTGCTTTTTGCCCATCTGTCTTTCTTTTCTTTTTCTTTCCCTTGCCCCCTCACATTCCTTGTGCTTTTTCCCTTGCTTCAGTTGGTACTTTGCGAATACTCCGTATTTGGCCGTGTCAGCGCATGCAACGCGGGTACTGCGCTAGTACTAGTGCAGCACGCTACGACGTCATTATTCGCCATCTGCCCTCTTTCTTGTCCGATGTTTGGGAGAATCCTCTCGAACTTTTCGACTTGTTTCGAGGCCGATTTTATGCTTTGACCAGCGAGAACTCGGCACGACGTCCAAGCTGAATTGTCACATCATCATTGTGCCCATTCCCACGGCTCATTTCGGCAACCTTACCCAGCCCCATCAAAATTCCTCAACTTCCAGCGCTTTGGAAAGCTGATCCTCATTATTTTTTTTCCCCCCGGACTTGTTGTTATTGTTATTTTTCTTTGGCTTATTTTTGTTGTTTGTCATTTACAGTTTATTCCCATAAACCCATCCAACCTTGTTTTCAGCTCGTTGCCTGTACTGACCTGTCGTGTAACACTCACAGTTTGTTGTCGACGGTGCCTGGAAGATAGACCCCGCTGCCCTTCAAGAAGACGACGGCCATAATAATATCAACAACGTTCTCCTCCGCCAAAACATTAAAAAACTACCGCCCACGGACGATACACCTGCGCAAACTTCAACGCCAACTTCCCCAGCAAAGAAAGAAGCCGCAAAAACCATGTCTGGAGGAGTAACACCAGAATCCACAACCGCAGTCCTAGCCGCAGGCGTTCCCAAAGAGTCAGACAAGGCTCGAGAAACAGAAATGGGTGCTCCTACTATTTCATCTGTTGCTCCAGATTCAACCACCGCTAATCTGGCGAAAGTGGTCCCACAAGAGAACAGCAAGGATTCGGCTCCCGGAGCTTTCCCAGTGACACCCGGAGAATCGGAGAAGCTCTCAGTCAGCCCAATCCCAGCGACGGAAGGTATTGGCAACCCGATCCATCTCGAGCCGGGTCAAGCGGTCCCTGACCCTAGCACATACACAAAAAATACAATCAGTTCTACTGTCATGGCGGATAGGGAAGGATACGAGAATGCTAGTGCTACAGGTGCGGCCACTATCCATCCAACCAACGGCACCAATGGGGTCACGGCTCCCTTCATCCAATCCAGCGCTCCCATATCAACCACTGCCGCTCTCGCCGGTGCTGTGCCGCTCGAGACTACCAACTCCAATGCAAACGGATCCAGCGAACCAGAAGTTGCTGCCAGCAGCATCCCCGTAACGGTCAAAAAGTCGTTGGATAAAGCTCACAAGGAACCAGGAGCCGCAGACGACCCCGCTGTTGTCCAGGAGAAGAAAGAGGTTGAGAGGGAGTTGCTCGGAAGTGTAGAACCCGCTGGATCTACCTCCACTAGTACACCCGCAGTAGTTCAAGACTCCATCGAAAAAGCGCACTGGAACCCCGAAGCCGCGGCTGTGCCTCAAACTGTGGCTGAGAAGGAGGAGGTTGAGCAGGAGCTGCTGCACGATGTGGAGCGTGTTGATGCATCTGGCGAACCTGCGCCCAACATCTCGCAGGGAAACCAAATTGGGTCTGTCTCGCCGAAATCGCAGCCGGTAGCACCTGCTGCGGCGGCGGATACCGCAGGAGCCCCAGCAACCGAGCAGGCACAGCCAGCTGTCACGACGGGACCCGAAACAACTACCGCGTCTGCAGCTGCCGGAAATACTTCCAGTACCAACGCCCCTGCGACTGGGGCGGGAGAAGAGACCCCGACGGCCACGACGGATGAAGCCAAGAAGAAGAAGAAGAAGAACCGCGCCAGCGCGCTCTTCTCGAAGTTGAAGGAAAAGTTTAAGTGAGTTGAGGAACTGGAGGAATTGGAAGTAGTGGAGGAAGCGCCCTTTCATTTGGTTGTCTGGGGGGAAAAGAAAAAGGAAATAAAGCCAGAAAGAAACGAGGCCAGGTCAGACGAGGAAATGAAGAACGGATTGGAAATAACGAAAATGGAAAGGAAAATGAAATGGGCAATGAGCAGAGTCGATCGATGGGGGGATGATGATTGGAGAGCATTTTTGTAACCTTCTTTCATGTTTTTTGGGGCATATTTCGAGGAGAGAGAGGGTCGATTCGTACTGAGACTGAATTGGGTTGGATTCGAAGATAAAGGCGTAGCAGTATACCCGATACCTTTTTTTTTTTTTCCCTCTTGGTTGTGTTTCCTCCTATTTCATCTGGCCGTTTTCTCCCCCCTCCTCTCTCCGTCGTGTTCATTCTATCGTCCATTATGTGATTTATTTCTGCTTCTCTGATAACTATAATCCGGGCTTTTTGTTTCCTGTCCTGCTTGTTCTCACCAAAGTATGAATATACCGCTCCGCTCTTGGAAGTTTTAACAATGAAATCATGATATATATAATTAAAATCTGTGGGAGGAAATCATCATCCATTACTATCTAACAACCCTTCCTTGGTTTTCCTTTGCAATTTTAAAAAGCTTTTCGTTGCCTTCTTCAACCGACCTTCATAGAGGGAGTAGCGCAGTGTTATCGATTCAAATGCACTCGTTGCCAAACGATGAAAGAGACCCGGCAGATATCAGACACTGATGCTTGGACCAACCTCCCTTCCCAAATCCCCGTCGCCGGTTATTCTGAAGTTATATCACACGACGAGAAAACGCTCCCGTATTTTAAGGTTCTGCCCTGCCGTGGTAAAACTAGCGCCGTGGCCTCTGGCCGGCGTATGGATTCTTCCCTATCCATTTCGAACCGGTTAAAGAAGGAAAAAGCAAAACAAAAAAAGAAAAGAAAAGAAAAGAAAATCGTCCCTGGGGACACACATCCGGCACATTTTAGTATTATTGTCCGTTCCGTGACACAGCGTCGCATTCATCTCCTCACCCTCCAGCGACCCAACGCGGCAATTGTGCGCAGAGTGAAGAACCAGTAGTTGGCAGTGGCGGTGGCCTGTCCTTCGGATACGCCCGACATGGACCGAACAGAGGATCCTCCTTGCTCCACGCAAGTTCTGGGCCTTGGGTAAGCTCGGGGAGCTAGAGACAAGAATGTGTGCGCGGCTTCGATCTCATTTGCTCGGCAAACGTTGAGCACAACGGCTGTTGGAAGATCATCCAGAAAATGTTAAAAACCAAAGGAAGAAGAAAAACACACATTGACAATTAGAAGCGCGATGGATAGATAGATAAAGCCAGAGCAGAAAGAGAGGACAGATAGAAAGACGGAATAGAACACAAGGACCGGCTCTCCTGGCTTTGTTCGCTCAACCACAGAGTCAAGAGTCAGAGTCCACACCTCCTCCGTTTGGGGAATTCACCAGCATCAACATCAGCTATATCTCGGCTAAAAGCCACCACCAGACAACACAACACATATATCCCTCGCCCTCCACCTCTTTTCATACTCCCTTCCCACGCCCTCTGCCGCTTTTCTTGCCCTTTCATTGCACCCTGATATGCTCCGACACCATGTCTCTGTTCACGCTGTCTCGAGCCAGCCGCCTGAGCATCATCATCGCCATCTCCTTCACCTTCTTCGTTGTCGAGATCTCAGGTAAGCATACAGAGCTCTACAGCCCGTACTGTCCGCCTCCAGGAGCTAATTGATAATCCTCCTCACCGGGGTTGGGGGGAGACTTGGGAAACAGTTGGCTTCTACACACGCTCGCTAGCCCTGGTTGCTGATGCGTTTCACTATGTAAGGGGCCGACATTCTTAGATCCATGTATACATATTTACACATACCCGCTTCCCAAATTCCTCTTACGGGCTATATATATACATACTTTTGCCTTTTTATTTCTTGTCTACGATATGTCTATACAAATATATATATATATATACTGAAAATGGCCCATTTCTAGCTAAATGATCTGATCGGATTCGTCGTCGCTCTCGTAGCATTAAAGGCATGGCTCACTCACCCACTCCATACATACCGGAATGAAAATCTTATGTGTAACTACATGATTATACATGTGTACACACTACATATATATACATATATACATATATATATGTATATAATATATTTGTCAACCCCTCCGTTGACAAGCAAACACAACCCAAAACAATATATCCTGCTAACATCCTCCTTTCCCCTTCGCTGCCAGGTCTCCGAAAACCCCGATGCAACCCCTAGTTATCTGACGTTTGGTTGGCAGCGCTCGACGCTCCTGGGTGCATTCTTCAACGGCGTCTTTCTGCTCGCGTTGGGCGTGAGCATCATTCTGCAGTCCATTGAACGCTTCGTCTCATTGGAAAGTACGTTTTTATCAATTTCTTCTGCTCTTGCTTTTTAAATTTCACGACTGACTGGAATCCATTTACTAGGGGTCGAGAAACCTGAACTCATGCTAATCATTGGATGCGTTGGTCTTACGCTGAATCTCATCAGCGCTTCTTTTGTCCATGGTACGTGCATATATGCAATCTCCCTCCTCTTACGCCTCCCTTTTCTTCAGCACCATAAAAAGAAATCAACAGAAGTTAACACAATGAATAGAGCATGGCCATGACCACCACCGCCACCACCACCACCACAACCACAACCATGGCACTCAAGATGTAGATCAAGAGCAGGAACAGAACAAACACCAGCATACAACTTGAGAACGTATGTCTTTTGTCCGTGCTGCTGCTCACATATTCAAACAAAAAGCCAATGCAACCCTTTACAAATTTACTAACCTCTTCTCCATCAGCGAGAGAATGCCCATGAAAATCAACCGACACGCCAACAACTCCCAATCCGTC